CGACGAAGAGTGTCCGACTAACCATCTTGAACTATACGTAGCTACGCTACTGCTTACATATATATTCTTTAAATAATTTGATAGTGTAAAAATTATTTACCATCATAAAACTTAGACACTATTTTAATTGTACAAATAATTGGAAAGTCTATCTGGCTGATGTGAAAACTGGGTTATATAAGGGGAAACAAAAGAACAAAATATCCTTTACTTAGATTTTAAGTCACTGTACCCATTGTCCTACATATATATTTGTATTCATTTTATTATAATATATAGTATTTTAGAAAATTATATGATCTATGAAAGAGCCTCTGGCTTTAGTTTGAATGTCTTTATCCTTTTACAGTATTTATCACGAGCAAGACATTACACCATATCCTAAAATTGAGGTGTTAACCGTTAGAGAAATGTGGAAATTAATTTATTTGTATTTGTCACGATCTAAGTTCATGAATATACTATTCATTCGCTTTAATCTAACATGATCTCACATGAGCGTTGTTGGGTTCTGAAGGGTGATTAGGGCGTCATGCGGAAGCTTACAATTGCAATCAAAACAGTGATAAATTAGATGACAAATAAAGCGATACTAAAACATAATATTATTAATATGAAAACTAATTTGAAAGAAAAATATTATAACTGTTGAGAGAATAAATCTCCCCATAAACTAAACTCTTTAAATGTCTACATTGTGGATACTATTGTGTCATGCTATGAGAATAGGGATCTTCAATTTATAGATCTCCAAATTTTTCCTTTAAGGAAAGAATAAACAAAATATGGAAGAATATTATATTTTCCTTTCCGGAAAAGTAAAAACATTTATGGTAATGTTTTGTCTTTTCTTTAAGGAAAAATAAATCTTAAATTATGGTAAGAAAATCAGGGTAAAACCCTAACAAATCTCCCCTTTTGGCTGGATTTTCTTGACAAAGCTTGATCCGCCTTCTTCATATGCTTGATAATCTTGTTCTTCACAAATTTTTCATGTATCACTGCTGCTTACCATGATTTAAAAATTTATATGAGTTAAAAATTGGAGCCCTGTGTTAAAAGTGATGAACAGGGTTGAAAGTGGAGCTCATGCGTTAAAAGTAATATGCATGAGTTGAAAGTGGAGCTCATGCGTTAAAAGTAAGATGCATGAGTTAAAAGTGGAGCTCATGCGTTAAAAGTAAAGAAACATAAGTTAAAAGTGGAGCCCGAGCATTAAAGTTTGCAGGGGTTGAAAGTTGGAGCCCATGCTATAAAATAAGCATGAGTTGAAAATTGATTTTGTTTTAAAGGATGGAGCAGCAGGATATTGTTGAAAATATATTTGAAATTTTTCTCCACATGTAGTAACACAAAAATCTTCATTATCATCACGTTGATTACAAATTGATTTGAAACCATCTTAAGTCTATCTTCAACCTCGATGAACCTGGGTTATTGAACCATTGGATCATTGAACCATGTGCTCTGATACCACTTGTTGAGTTATGAAGGGTGATTAGGGCGTCATGCGTAAGCTTACACTTGCAATCAAGACAGTGATAAATTAGATGACAAATAAAGCGATACTAAAACATAATGTTATTAATATGAAAACTAATTTAAAAGAAAAATATTATAACTGTTGAGAGAATAAATCTCCCCATAAACTAAACTCTTTAAATGTCTACATTGTGGATATTATTGTGTCATGCTATGAGAATAGGGATCTTCAATTTATAGATCTCCAAATTTTTCCTCTAAGGAAAGAATAACCCAAATATGGAAGAATATTATATTTTCCTTTCCGGAAAAGTAAAAACATTTATGGTAATGTTTTGTCTTTTCTTTAAGGAAAAATAAATCTTAAATTATGGTAAGAAAATCAGGGCAAAACCCTAACAAGCGCTTCAAAAGATAAATGTATGGGTACCTGATCGAGTCCTAATATAAAAACTTATGTTATGTCCTTATATAGCACTTCATTTTTCTTCTCTTTTTTTGTTGTGTGATTTGTCTTTAACGTCATATCATATATATTCTTTATTCAAAAGATTTTCAATTTTTTTATTTATCCGTTTTCTGTCATGAGCGTCACAACACTTATAATAGAAGCTGTATTTTAGGGAAGAATGTTGTATTTGTCCGTGTTTTAGGATATTGTTACCATAGTTTTAGGTCAATTGTATACTTTCTATATGTACTCATGTAGTCTGTATAAAACAATAATTAACTAGCTATCACATGTTAAAATTTCAAAGATATTATCAATAAAAAGGGTTATTATTTTATCAATGTATATAACTTAAAATACGTTTGCTAAACCATACACGTGCCATTTTAAAAGGGCTAGAAACAAACAAAATTGAAGGCCCAGGCCCAAAACTATTTTCTTGTTAGCCTACGTTATTGGGCCATTTTTGTTGTGGGCTGCAGTTTAGCCCAATGAGATCGTCTTATCCAGCCCATACCTGAGTAATAAGTAAAAATTAGGCAAATGACATAGTAGAAGAAAGAAATTACTTCTTTTCCCTACTCTTTCATTAATTACCAAAAATCCCTTTTTTAGTGTTTTTCGGATACATAATATAGCAGTGTGGATACTTAATATAGCAGCGCGGATACTTTAATTAATAACGGGCGGATACTTAAATTATTAAGTTGTTAGCAGCATGGATACTTAATTAACGGATATAGCAGCGCGGATACTTTAATTAATAACGGGCGGATACTTAAACTAATAAAGTATTCAGTTAAGTTGAATTAGGGGAAAATAAGGGATTTTTGTATTTTAGTAAAAGAGTAGGGAAATATTGAGAATAGGTAAAGAAGTGTTGTGTATTTAAGTAATTTTTCCAAGTAAAGTAATAAATCAAGTGGAGATTAAGTATAATTAGACAAAATATTAAGCTGATATTTGGTTTGATATTGTTTATTGACTTCTAGAGATTGTTATTGGGCAAGTTATATTTGATCCGTCAACTAAAAATAATTACATTTTTTGATCAAATATAAACAAGTATAATCCATAAATGTGCTTTTAAACTTTGTCTCATATGGTATATATCTATATCCTTAAATTTTGAGCGGGCATAAATAAACACTTGAACTTGTATAATATTGAATAAGTAAATACACACATTTACACTACATGAAGAAAATGTTCTTTATCATAATTCTATTTATAAGACCCATACCCAAACTTTTTGTTAAAGATGAATAAATTCTATTCATCTCGCTACACTATTCGACCATACAAAAACTAAAATATTGATAATGGAGCCATAGTTGCTTGTTTTTTCTTTGTCATTTTCAAATGAAAAATGTCAAGTTAAACCTCATAAAAAAATCACAAAAGTCAACATCTTTCTTTTTAATGGCTTTCCCCACTAAAATAAAGGAAGATTTTTCACCATTAACTCCATACACCAACTATGAGAACCTATCAACATGGGTATGTGTTATTGTGCGGTGCGACTGCTTCACTCCTAATTAGAGATCTTAAGTTCAAGATCTGAATATGAAAAAAATCATGTTGGAGCACTATCATTGAATAGACCATATAGTGAGCGCTCCAAATTTAATTGGAGCTCTAATACGGGCTCCGAACACCATATCCGAACACTAAATTGGAAAAAAAACTATGAAAACCTTCTTTTTAACCTTTCCCCTATATTTTTTTTAATTTAAATTAATTTAATCGAACTTGACTTTCTTATCCCATAGTGTTCCTATAGATAAGATTGGTCTCTTACATCAGCTAAACATATATTTATTAAAATGATTATTTGAATAAATTTCTTAATTATCAATTTAATTCGACATTATTCTCTAAATATAATAGGTCTACACATTAATTACAAATGTACTCCATAATATTTAACTAAAATAAGCTTAAATGAAGTAATTATACGTGTTGATGATAATTTACACAAAACTTAATTTTTTTTACTTTTAAACTCCTTACCTAATTAAATAATGTAATGTAAATTGAACATTGAAACTGTTAACTGATTGAACGATGTCACGCAAATTGAGACGGATAAAATATAGGATAAAAGAGATATATTTTCAGCTAATTCTTCGCCTTTATAGAACCCTATAAACCCCACAATTTTCCTTATATTATAAACACTCCAACTTTTTTCTTCCTTTTGTGTTAAACTTCTCTTATAATTCTCCCAATTCTCAAAACTCTTAACGTTTCTCACAAACCCTGCTCCAAAACCCTGGTACTGTCACTTTTATTTCTCTGTAATCTTGTTTTTTTTTTTTTTTTGCTGCATATAATTATTCTCGATTCATAAATTCTTATGGGTGTGTTTTTTTGCTAAAAAGTTTTGTCTTTTTGGGTATATGTTTGTTTTTTGTGATCAATGAGTATTTGCATGTTATGGTTATGTTGTTTTTGGTATAGTTATAGTTTTTATGTTCTGTTTCAGTAGGACTTGAGTTTGTTTTGGTGGTGATTTGAATTTTCAGTAATTGATTGCATTATCTGTTGAATGAAACTATCTATTTAGGGTAAAAAGATGGTATATGTTTCAATCTGTTTGCTGGTTTTGATATGATATGACATGGAGTTTAAGAAAGTAAAGAATGTTTTTGAATATTGCGGTTCTTAATAGAATGATAGGTACACGTATCAAAATGTCTTTTAATTTTGTGGTCCGAAGAGAGTTCAGTGTAAAAAATGGTATCTTTAATTCTCTCTCTTTCAATTTGTTTGTATGGTTTTGATATGATATGGCACGCTCTTTAAGAAACTAAAGAATGTTTTTGAATCTTGTGGTTCTTAAACAAAAGATAGGTACAACGTATCAAAATGTCGGTTAATTTTGTGGTCGAAAGAGACATCTTTCTTTATTGAAACGGACTAAAAATGGAAGTAAGACCAACAAATTGAAACGGAGGGTGTATTATTTTTAATCTTTGTATTAAGAGGAAGAATTTGGGGAAAAAAGTCTACTTTTTTGGTTGTGATTAGGTATTCCCTTCAACATAGTAATTATTGATTTTTGGCCTGACATGTTTATTTACAGTTTCGTGTTTACTTTTGTTTGCATATTTATAGCTTTAAAGGGAAATCTGGCTGCTGGATTGAGAAGGGGATTGCTAATGAAAGGTTGAAGATTTCTATAACAAATTGAAGAAACATCATGGGTTCAGTTTGTTCCTGTTTCACTGTTCGGGATGTTGGAGGGAATGCTGCCTCGAATGATCAAAATCATACTTTCTGCAAGTGTTTCAGTTGCTGCTTTCAGAACTTAATTAATAAGGTGTGATTTTCTTTCCGCCATGAAATTTAGTATATTTTGTTCTTATAATGTTTGGATGGTGCACCAAACCACTTAATGTTTCACATTGTTTATATCGAATACCCCTGCCACCTAGCTAGTTCCGCCTTATCAATATCCGATGAATGATGGCTAGATTCTTGAAGTCGTGTCGATTTGATGTAGTTATCACATTGTTTGTATCGAATTCCCCCTGCCACCTAGCTAATTCCGCCTTATCAATTTTCGATGAATGATGGCTAGATTCTTAAAGTCGCGTTGAATTGATGTAGTTATCACATTGTTTGTATCGAATCTCCCCTGCCACCTAGCTTATACAGCCTTATCAGTTTTTCGATGAATAAATGATTACGTTGAACTGACGTTGTTAATCAAGCCGTTAGACTACCAAACTCAACTAACCATAACAACAATGAATATTTAAGTAGCATGGCAGGTGAAGATGCTTCTGAGGAAACATTTCAACTACCTTAAAGAATTAGGGAGTTAACCTACCTTCCTCTTATGCAAGGAATGATGTAATTCTATAGAATTCCAAAGTGAAAAGATTTGAAATTCTACTAATGCTTGCATTAGGGTAGGCTGGCTACATGCCTACATCCACACCCTTGGGGTGCGGCCCATCACGCGGAGACTGCTAACGCGAGATGCTTTGTGCACCGGGCTGCCCCTTTTTACTAATGTGAAGGATTTTCAGCATTTTCTGACCTTGCTCAATCCACTACATACTGTTTAATTATGGATATTGGTTTAGCTTTTAAGAAACTAATACTTCATGTTTAGTCGCCATTGTCTTTTCGTATTCTTCATGTGGTATATGAACTATGATTGGAATACCAGAAACTATTTGCCTGGGGAAAAAATGATGAATGCGAGATGCTACTGTGACCACTCGTTCTTGAACAAGTCTAAACATGGAAAAGCTCTGTTGTATTTGATGAGAAGTGAAATCTACCTCAGAAAGAATCTATTGATAATTGTTGCTAACCTGAAACACATTCTAATTATAATTGTAGTAACAAAATCACGACTAGATTGCTAGCCTAGCATCTTCTTTGCAAATGATTCATTTTTGCTTTGGCTTTGTGGAGGACACAAATTCGGGTAGAAGGTTAGTAGGTAGCAGTGTGTTGTCTTGTTATTCGTCCATACTAGTAGTTGTAGTATTGCTCCTGTCTTTTCTTGTCCTTCAATTTTTTATATTATTTGTTGTTTCTTGTACTTCGACTATCATATTATTTTGTTGTAATTATTGTCATGTTACTCTCTGCTGTTTCTGTTACTATGTGCTATTTCTTGTACTACTTTTTTGACTGCTGTGGACTATTTTTCCCTTGAGTCGAAATGCTAACTATTTACAAAATGCCGATTGTTCCTTATCATGATACTGACTTTTTAGTATTACTTGTCATCAGTGTGGAACCATATTTGGGCAAGCACAAGGAACTGCTGGGACTTCAGTTAATCAAGGCCCACCATCTTCGACTGCTCCAAATGCCATAAACAGTTCATGTAATACAATCAGGTCTCAGGATAGGCGTTTACCAATTAGTGCTGCTCCTCCAAGACGGCTTCAAATACAAGAAGATGTTGCATTAAGACGACAGGACAAAGGAACAAGTCATTCACGAGTTGAGCCCGAACCAGATATAGATGCTGATATTGAAACAACACAAAAGCTTCTAAAAGCAGGCAATCTGCTTAAATCAGACTCTGCTCATCAAGGCCCGTCATCTTCGACTGCTGGAGTTACCATCAACAGTTCACGTAATACAATCATGTCTCGTGATAGAGGTTTACCAAATACTGCTGCTCCAAGACAGCCACAAATGCAACAAGATGTTGCATTTAAACAACAGGACAAAAGAACAAGTCATTCACGAGTTGAGCCTGAACCAGAAGCTGATGTTGAAATAACAGTAGGAGCAAACACAGTGCTTAAATCAAACTGTGACGGAGGATCTAAAGAATGTTGTCCAGAGATCATGGTGACAGCTGTTCCATATGTCGTTTGCTCATCAGAAGATGAGGATGTATGTCCCACATGCCTCGAAGGTAGCTAACATTATTTTACAATTTTGTGATTGTAAAAAGCTATTTCAGCCGCAACAGATTGACAAAAGAGGTTGCTCTAAGGCTCTAACTACAAGGTTTGACGATTCTCTTGATCTACATAACGACACTATTTTTTTTGTTTGCAGAGTATACACCAGACAATCCCAAGATATTTACAAAATGTTCTCATCATTATCACCTCAGCTGTATATACGAGTGGCAAGAGAGAAGTGAAACATGTCCAGTTTGTGGAAAGGCAAGATTTTCTTAATTCTTTTATATTTCACAAGTCTTTAATTTTCTTTAACTTTGTGCCTAGTTTACTACCGCCACATAAATTGGGACAGATGTAATGCATGCGATGTCAGTATTATAACGTACATAGTCTTTGTTATCTGACAGCAGTGTAGGTAGTCAATGATCACTTGCTCATTCAGACGTCTGAGTTGTATTTGAGCCGGAATATGTACGTGTTAAAGTGGCTCATATATTGGTGATATGTATAACCTTATATCTGCAGACTGCAATCCGATATATCTACTCTGCACGTCTTGATTCCTCACAACAATTTTGTGGGACACTTTGATAGAATTAGTATTTGGGGTTCTCACAAGAGTTAGCAGACTCGAAGTAGACACATTTGTTACTTAAACCACACATTGACTTCCACTTATGATCGTCATCTTGGCACATTCGAAAGAGCCTAAAAGATCACAGAATTATCCTCGGGAAAGAAATGTGCCAAGATGGCGATTAATGCTTAGACTTGGAAGTTTTTTTGTGTTTTTCGATTGTGGAATGCAATCCAGTCAAGTTTTTTAGCTTCATTTCTCTTAAACACTTTGATTTCTTCGCGCAGTTGATGGAATTTGAGGAGACAAATTGATGGTCAGAGTTGAAGAGAAGGAGCTTGGTAAGGTGTACATGATTTTTTACCACACTCTGGTCCCCTGACATCTACAAAGGATCGATGAGTAACGCGATACAGAGTCTAGAGAATTTTTGGTTCTCCTTGAACTTTTTCTTTTTGGTACTCTTATACTTTTGCTGCCATGGGCTTTTTCGTGGGTGTTTTAGGCCCGTGAGTGAGATCTCTGCTCATTGCAGGCATCTCCGCGGTTCTTCACCATATGGATAGTACCAAACCCTTGTGCCCCGACCCTTGATCAGATAAAGCTGAAATTTTGATTTTTCAAATTATCTTTTTTGCGCTGTAGCCTTTACATCTAGAAGATTAATGACATAATGCTAGTGTTTTTTCGAGATAATAACTATACATAAATATTATAAAGTGCTGAAAAAGCTATTTTAAATGAGACAAAAGAATTAGAAATAGTAAACCATAATTGTATCAACAACAATTCTAATACAAAGAGCAAATGGACTTAATTCCATTTACAAATTAGGTTTAGGGAATTAACATACTTAAATATTAATACAAAGACATTAATAATAATTAGGTTCTATACATGCATATCAATATAAAAACACTCGATATATATAATTAAGAATTTCCCAAGCATAGATTAATTAACATCTCATATATTTTCCATCACATAAAGTTTATCGCTAATCGCTTATATTCATCTGTCCTGATAGTGAGCTCCTTTCAACGTTGCAAGCGATTTGCAAGAGTGAAATTATTCATAGATGTTTATTCATGTTGAAAAGTGGATATAATGAATCAAGATTTAGGTCAAGCTCATTATTCCTCCTTGCTTCTGCTGCTTCATCTTGGTAATTACCTCTAATCAAAATCAATTAATTAGAAAAATTAATAAAACAATCAAACAAGTAATTAATGCTTAACAAACTTTCTAGCTAAAGAAATTTAAATGTGGTTAACCATTGAAAAACCATGAGTCAACTAGCCCTTTGAGATTTAGGGAGCGTTTGATCATGAAATTTTTTTCCACCTTCTAGAAAACACGTTTGATCATCAATTCTAAAAATTCTTGTTTTCACTTCAAATTACTTAGTAATTTATTTAATGACCACATACAACTTCAATTTTCAAATATCATTTTTTACTTTGAAAACAAAAAAATTGTTTTTTTCTATCTTCGCAATGAAACATGGTTAAATGCCTACTTAGTTTCTTGGTTATCAAAAAGATCACTTTATAATCACATGTAAGTAAATATAACTTTCAACAATAAGATTAATAATGAACTTCTTCGTTGGAAATTTATACTGTATATGTAGAAGGCTAATATTTTTTTAATATGTATATATAGTTAATTTTGAATACGCTAAATAAAAGTTCTGACTCTGTGACTAACTGATTTAGTTAATTTTGTTATAGATGAAGAAAATTACCCCATATTTAGGCATTGATGTGGTTGTAAGAGGAAAGATGTTGAAGTAGAAACTTGATTAGTTTGCTGGTGCCATTCACCTTGCTGCTCTACTATCTTATCCTTCTCCTTAATCTGTTTAGAAGCAATTAAAAGGTGCAAATAATCAGTAAATATGATTCATTAAATGTTATTTTTAATTAGAATAAGGGAAATTACATCTCACGTGACGTTCTACATGTATAATATCATGTAGAATATATGTGTCTACTTATTTAATTTTATCTAAATTTAAGTGTTTACTTATGTACATCATACCAGCTGAAACTAAGTTAACTGATACATTTATATATAATGAATAGAATAAAATAACATGAGACAAACTCACCTTCTTAGTTAGCATGTTATTCTCCTCTAGGATAGCCCTTTCCTGTGAAAACATTGCACTCAAAAGGCATCAATCAAAAATTAAATGCTTATTACTCCTGTCCCGATCTCTATGGTATAAATTATTTCATCGAAGGTAAAACAAGAAGTTTAAAGTTAAATTGTTTCTGATCAAGAAGTCTGACTTTTTTTTTTGAACAAACTAAAAAACGTAATATTTCGTGCAGATAGTATGTACGTAAACCTTATCAATATCTTCTAAGGTAAAAGACGGTTTCCAATAGATCAAACTAAAAAAATATAAATAACATATAAATACCTTTTTCTGCAGTTCAGAGATTGATTCATGCATGAGTTGGTTCTGCAACACAAACATTTTATGTAACATAAAATCCAAAAAGTTGCAAGAAAGAAAGCAAATGGTAATCCACTCAAAAGTATGGTCTATCAAGCTAACAACATTGTTTGGATTATACAAAAATATTATCGTACTCATATCAAATTTCAAAATATATATTATTTTTAAAGGATTCAGTATGCACCAAATGACATTTTTAAAGAATCTGAGCAATACATTGCTATCAAGTGGGTGAACATTTTGGTGATCTAGTCACAAAGTAGCCAACACATTTATCATGTATGTTTAAGTATAACACATATAATGTACTTACTATAAATCTAAGACCCTTAGTTGCTTGTGGTAGCAAAAATATAATAATAACTACGCTTCAGTCCCAAACAAATTACTAATAACAAATTACCTTTCTTGATCGAATTAGCTTAAGAGCAGAATCAAGCTGTTGTTCCAAGTTTTGCAAGTCCTTCAAGCTCATTGAATCAAGATCTTCTCCCATATAATGCCTGAAAAATAATTGTAAAAACAAAATATGAATATGTCATAGTGATGATGAACAAATGAACTAAGTTGTGCGGATTCTTCACTTTTAATGGCGCACCTGTATCGGATTCTCCAAAAATACATTACTTTTTGAGAATCCAACACGCACCCTTTGACATTTTCAAAGAGTTCGAGCAACATAGCAAAGTGAACCTTAGTTATGAGGTAACATTGGCTGGAATGTCTCTTATTTAACCTATTCCCCATTCAGCTCAGAGAAGTCATTTTTCTCATTTATAAAGGAGTTGTTTTTCGAAAGAAAATATTTTTGAAAAACACGTTTACAAGGGCGTATGTACTATTACAAGTACGGGTTCAATTGAACCTACCATTTTTTATGCAGAACATAAATTTTTGTATAAGATTTATGAATAGTAGATATGAACTCATAACTATCAATATATAAAAGATGCAATGCTAAAACTCTTAAAAGAATGAACTCATAAAATTTATATTTTGAATTCCCCTTTATATATTCATGACTAATAAAACATACCAAAAAATTTAAAAATATTTTCCATCCTACCAAACACACAAATCAACATATATAGCATAATCCTTGATGGAATTAAGAAATTATATATTTTACTTGTGGTTCCTTTGCAGGAGATCAATCCTAGCCTTGAGTTTAGTATACTCCAAGCTCCAATTTTCCTGCACCTATATATTAATTAAACAAATACCAATAAATCATCTCGAAGATTAAAAAAAAAAAGGCATTAATACTGTAACAACATAATATATTCAATGTACTTATAAAAGTAAGGTCGGGATAGTGAGACATAGATCTTATTCCTATTTTGTGAAGGTATAGAGGTTGTTTTCGATAGACACTCAGTTCAAGTAGAACATGATTTCAAACCAAGTTACGTTTGAAAAGGAAATAAAATAGTGAAGAAACCATGTCAAAAAGTAAAAAGAAAGGATTAGAAGCAACATAAAATAATCCAATAGTTGAAGCAAATAAAATACCATAAAAATACAAGACACCTTATTTTTACACTATGAAACATCATGTCATCTTTACCTATTGTATCAGATAACATATCTTCTTTTCAAGATTAATCAAATCTCAAATTTTAAAGCTTAGCTATAAATATCATTTGAACAACTTAATACTAATGATATAAAAAATTATTAATACTAACCATATATATATATATATATAACTTAAATTCAAAATATTTATCGAAAACCTTTTATAATTTGGTCCATACCGGTGATTCAGAATTATTTGCAAGCAAACGTCTCTCTGCATATGAGTATCTTTCATATCGTTCAAGAATTTGTTCCATACTGTTTCAAGAAATAAAAAAATGATCATTAATCTTTCTCAATAATAATAATAAAAAATCATAATATATTATGCAAGTTCACATGCAATAAAATAATTCTATCATGATTGTTATTTCTTATCCCATCAGTCAAACGCTAAATATAATATACCTTAGAGAAAATAATATTGTTATTAGCGTTGATATTATTTAATCCCTTGTTTGAAAGTGTTTTCAATATACATAGTAAATCATAACATTAACAATACATATTCTATTTCTAGATCATATATGTTCTATTCATGATAAATGAACATTATTCACTTAATACTACAAATTAAACAGACGATAAAAAATAATATAATTAATAGAACTATTATTATCGTTACTGATTTATCCTATTTAGTACTATTCT